GTGGAAATACAACTGGAACCGTACCCGACAGTTCTTAGAACCGTTTGGCCCGATAATGGAAAAGCGGCTATCGAGATATACTCCATCAAACTGTGCACTCTGTTATAACTGTGATTTGTTCTGTATTTCTGGGATGGTACGCACCAAATGATTGGAGATGCCAGCATTCTTGGCTATCCTGTAGAGGAGGATGTAGCTCTTCATGGATATTTCCAAGCATCTCTGTATGAACTCGAGGAGTTCTCTAGTCATTTCTCAACTTGTAACTGAGAGACATGGTATGGCAATGGTACCACCCACTTGTTACCCAAATCTTTGAAGAATTCCTTTTCCATGATGTTCAAGAAGAACTGCTGCTCGACTGAAGGAGCACATTTATTCATCTTTGTTCTGCTGAAAGACTGACTGACCAGGTCTGTAGCTTGATGGGTCTACTTGACATTGTAACATGAGTTTTGGTATTGGTATTTTTCTTAAAACCGTTCACCAGATCTAGCTTGTGACTTTACTAGGCACACATCTCCTACAATGACTCAGCCAGTGTCTGAACAGAGAATTATGAACACCATTGAGTTGTTTGTGGACTTCAGAGACAGTGACCCCCAAATCGCAAGAACTGTTTACACTTAATGTGTGTACATAAACGTACCTATTAAGGTGTACATGAATGCATGGGTGGAAGTTTAACATTTCAGAATCATGTTTGGACTCTGTGTTCAACACAATGCTTAAGTTAATTTGAAAGTGGTTTGGAACATGAATAATGCATAGGTTAAACCTTAAAGACTTAAGACTTTGCAATGAAGTTCTACATCCGATTGGGACTATGGCTAGTTTACTAGATCCCAACAGCCTATCTTGGAAAGGAATCCTAACAAAGGATTGAAAGGTTCTCTCTTATAGACAAAGGGAGGGTTCTGAAAAGAGAAGCTAAATGCAACAAAGAACAAAAAGAAAGGAAAGAAAGAAGAATTCTAAATACTGAAACAAGGGAGTTTGGGGGAGTTTGGAAATGGCCTCGTCAGGTGCTGACAGATTGTATGTTCTGTTTAATGCACTTGAGAGGTGTTTTCCCCACTTATGAAACACCACATATCTTCTGTAAATGTCTGTAAACCTGCCTGCTTCTAATTGGCTAATTTTGTTTCTTATCGCCACAGGTTCCATCCGCACCTCCCACATACACAGGAAGACAGCTTTGGTAAAGGAGGAGAAGGGCGAATGGAAAAGTGGTGTAAAATCTCTGAAGTGAATGCGGACTTACAGTTAGGAACAACATTAAAAGCCGCCAGTGCTCCAGTGAGACTGAAATACAGGTCTCTGATGGTGGTGTGTGTGTGAGTAATTTGACAAGCGTGATAGAAGGATGTTAACACTGGACAACTCTTTTCACCATCAATAGCTGTAGCGATTTTGAGTTAGTGTACTGGTAAAAAATATTGATGCGGTATCACAGATTTCTCCATTAAAACAGCTTTTCACTCCCACAGTATTTTAATTTTATCATTGTTCTTGCTCTGGCTTCAGATTCACCCTGAAGCCATATCGTATGTTACATGAAGAAGTTACTGTATTGCAGTTGTGATTGTGCTGTAAAACTTGGACGTTTTATCATTCTGTGATAACTGGATACAGTACTTCGGTTTCTCTGGTCAGAGTTTTTTTTATTTCGTGAGTTGTCTGTGTAGGAATGACTGGCGTGCAACTGTAGCGCCAATCCCCATGCACCATGCCGAGACAAATCATCAGCGTTCTTCTAAGGACTCTTTAGCTCAAATCTCACTCAATTCTAAGCAGCACCTTGTCGCAAATGGGCTGTATTTTTATACATCAAATTATTCTTGCATTTCGCCACTGGAGCTGCGAAATATTTAATCCGTTTTGAGCTCTGCTCTGTTTAACAGTTCTACAGTTAACCTTCAGATACCTACTACTGCTGGACAGATCCCAGTGGAAATAACTATGACGACAAAGCAAAGGAGGGAGGCGAGGACAAGAGGTGGAGTGTTAATGTAATTCAGATTAGGTTTGCTAGTCTGAATTATGGTTTAAAAACTGCAACTCTGGCCATATACACACTGCAAAGTTTTGGAAGTGATAACTGCTAATGTGATAATAAATAAGTTACCCACATAAGTTACGGTAAAGTAATCCACCGGTAAAGTAATCCAAAAATTTGATTTAAATAATTGGATTTTATTTATTCAGATTTTTATTTTATGTACAAAAAGAGATTATATATATTTTGTGTGTATCACAGAAGCTATGAGGGGTGAGTAATTGACGGCAGAATTTCCATTTTTGGGTGAACTGTCCCTTTAAGCACTGAAAAGAGTGACGATTGCAGTATTTACATGGCCACAGTACAAGAGATCAGAGACCTGTGGTAAGAGGGTCTGGTCAGGTCATTCTTCAAATGGGTCTCTTTGTTTTATTTGTCCAATGAGAGTGACCGTGTGCTTAACCAGCTGTGTTCTGAAAGTGTTTTTGTCATTGATGTTTGCTCCTTATACTGTGCTGTAACCTTCCGAAAGGGACATTGAGTTGAAGAGAATAACTACGGTTTCCTTTATAATCATGCATGCAGAGTCCTAAACCACATCACACACACGGATATATATATTACGGCTCAGTATTAGGCTAGTTTTCACAAAACCAAGTGTGAACATTTGGTTGATTGCTTGGTCCAATTCAGAGTTCGATTCCACCCTCCTCCTTTTCTTATACAAGGTACAAAAAGGCAAATAATATGCTGCCATTATACTCTGAGACTGCAAAGATGTAAATTACACGTCATCTATAGCAGTTAACTTCCACAAGTTATGATGGATTGCTGGAGTCGATCTGAACCGTACCCCAGAAACCCATGTGTGGTTCACTGTTGCACACCTGAGATTTTACAGATTTTTCACTGTAGACCAGTATAGATTTGGTGTTGGGGTTGTTTGCTTACAGTGTTGGTTTCATTGCAGAGCGTAGTTCATCTTAACATGGTATCAAGCCTGAACCCTCAGTAACCAACCACTAGGGCTGGGTGAGATAGCTAATATTTATATAAACTTTTTTCTGCATTTGGACAATATACTAAAATCTATCCATTTCTTTTTCTTTAAGCAGAAGTCTTTTTAGAAGTGTATTTAACCCAAAGAACAAATGCCTAAAATATTAAAAATGCTTGAAGTCCAATACAGTAAAACAGACAGTTCTTGCACTTTAATAGGTGAGTTTCAAAGCAATAAGAGGTTAGGAGAACTGTGGATATTGATTGTTAAAGGGGTCATGACATACGTCAGCATATCTGTCTCTGTCCATTTGAATGGATTGCTCATTTTGATGCTGCTTCTCCTTATAGACTTGGTTAACATCTTTGCATGCACCTCACCATGATGCATATAGAATTGCATTTGCAGAACTTAATAATGGCAACCATTCGAATATAGCCATATTTCAGCAGTGTCCTATCCTGCTCCTGGAGAGTCGCTGTTATTTTATTGGCAAAACATCTCAACACTTACTGGCGTGTCCAGTTCACACTCAAAATTGCCATTGGGTGGTCCATGACGGTGAGGTGATCCTGTGCCAACACAATGAAAACAAGTCATTTCTGCAACTTTGTTTCATTAATACTCGTGTTTTGAAACTTAAAGTTTGTATGTTTTATAGTAGTGGACTACTATAGTAGTACAATGATCAAAATTCAGTGCATTGTCATGACCCCTTTAATGGGATCTACTAGTCGCTTATCAACATTTTAAAGTGGTTTGAACCTAAATTGCAGTTTAGGTCGGAATGATTGTCAAACCTCTTGATGGCAAATGCTACAAATAGTCAAACTGGGATAGTTTGGACTGTGTTTTCATAAACAGCCGGATCCAATTGCTGCAGCTGTCATGTCATCTCATCCTCGATATCTAACATCCATTTGCAGAGGTTCTGAAGGGCATAGCATTAAGCCTCCTACACACCGGGACGATTATCGCGCATGCTTATCGTGCATGCTTATCTTATTTGTGTTCATACCCAAGTGATTTTCGCTGGCGATGAGCCGTGAACGTGCAAATTCACTCCCTGATATTAGATGGCGCTTAATGAAACACAGAAATACCCCGGTACCTATTTGATCTGCAATTCCTCTCCATAACAACTCCCTCTTATCGAGATTTCTGTAGTCGCTGTTGCGTTTGTCGTAAAGCCCTTTGTGTTCAGACACCAATGAGACCAGCAGCTCGACATTCATCTTGCCTCGATGCATCTTCTTGGTCTGCTTGCTTACGCTTCGTGGTTAGTTATCAATGTGTGCTCGGCAAGACCATTTTGTGCTTGAGCGCCACCAAGACGTGTTTTACTGTAACTTCAGCAGCTCCAGGCACGTGAACAAAAGCGCCAATCTCATTGGTCGACCAGTTTTTAACGCGGCGCGTCAAACCAAAAAAACGAGCCCGAGGCGTTTTTAAAAAAATGACGCTTTTACGCCTCGCGTTTTGCGCATCGGTGTGCACACTCACATTGGCGCCCTTTGTTTAGTCATGAGGCGTTAAAATGTGGGCGATAATCGCGCGCAATATTTGTCCCGGTGTGAACAAGCCTTAAGATTTCTAACTTGCACAAAGATACTCTATGCAACTATGTGAGCGCACGCGCTCTGCGTTGTTGCATTTGATGTGTCAAAGTGCAGTTTGTAACACAGTGCAAGTACTTTACATGTTGCATTCTC